CACTCAAATAACGGTACCTGATCCCTTGCTGACGCTAGAACCGACCTTCCCAGGCTAATACAAAAACGAGACCAGAGCTCGGGTAGAGAGCTTTATTTAGGTCAGCCACGTGCTGAGTGAAGAATCGAAAGTGAAACTAATTCGAGTCAGGGTTGACATTGACCTGATAAAAAGCGTAACAAAACACATGTTAGTAAATTAGTGTAAGTAGCACCAGAAACCAACGACGAGCAATCTTGGGGAATCGTGGATCCCCAACACTAGCTTCTTCAACTCGCAATGTCTTCAGACCAATCACGTAGCACGTGGCATGTTGCGAACCCCTTACGAACCAGGCTCCAGGTAATTTTCACAGCAGCCGAAACTGGTTAACTGACAACCTCGCAATAGAGGGGATAAGGGTGATGGTTAAAAGCGCAACGGGGACAGAGGGTTTTCCGAATAAGTGCGCAAAATGATATGATCCCTGCTTTTTCTGCTCATGTGAGAGAGAGCGGACAGAGAGAAAGCGCTGCTGATCCTTGCTGATCGACAAGCCTGTCAAAAGACAGCATGAAAATGAGGCTGGAGGTGGGGCGGGGGTGGGTTGGGGTGGAACGTGAAACCGAAGTAGAGCGATACATGCTGGGCGATAAGGCAGAACACACACGCGCACACACCCGGGCTAGGAGACAGCCAGTGATGGGATACTAGCAGAGGAAAGATGGACAGGCTGTGATAGGAGCAACGACAACGTCTAGTATGTTCGCAATAGTCTACGGAGTGGGAGAATAGGCAGGCACAGACTGACAGAATCGCTTATCACGTTCCCTTATCTGCTTTTTGTTCTCTGCTACGTTCCTTCTGTGTTGTGGGGTTCTTGTTAGGGTTTTTTCTCCTGTTATTGTTGTTGAGGCAACGTTCCCAGATGGCAGAGTACCATTTGTACTAAAATGTCCCTTATTAAAGGTCAGATTTCCCAGGTAAAAAGCGGCCCAGAATGAGTCGAATAATCTTGGCAGATTCATTGTCTTGAAGTTTACAAGTCACTCACTTATCCTCTAGTGCCTTTTCAAAGGCTTCCAAAGGTCAATTTTCTAATGGATGAAACCAAGTGAATTCTGGAACGCGAACCAACTAAACTCAGGTGACCTTGAGGTCGGACTTTCAGAACTGTGCCTTTCCAAATGGATTAAAGTACTGTAGTGACTCGTAGTCTCAGAACTACCTTACAGCCCTCTAGTTAACAGCCCGTAACAGCCCCAGAAGAGTGGAAAAAGAAGCGACAGAGGACACGACCGTTTATTAGCGTCACGCCAGCCAAGTGTGTCTTAGTGCGTATATGAGTGAACGGATGACAGGCATCTGATACAGTAACCAATGAAAAGGCGATGAGTCATTGTCACCGCCAGGTCGGTAACCAGGGTTCACTCAGGCGCGATCCCTGTTGATCCGCTACAGTACCAATGGTTAGCATGGTTTTCCTATAAAAGTGCAACCAGTGGCTGACGCTTGAAAAGTTAGTGTGAGATGGGGTGAGAATTGATTAGTGAGTTGTGGAGAGACAATTTGGCGCACAAAGCAACTGGACTGGCGTGACGCCAATAAACGATCGTGTTCTCTGACGCCTCTTTCCCTCCTCTTCTCGGATTGAAAAGGGCTGTTAACCAGGGAGTTGTAAGGCAGTGCAAATTGGTGACACCGACGTCGGCATTGCTATTTCCACTGTGGCGATCAACATGTGAACAGCCATACAAGAAGATAAGCGAAGACAAATTTAATCGATTTTCTTAAATTTGCTTTACGACGCGATCTTTGTCCAGAGATCAGTAGTGAGGCGTTTCTATTTAAACTGACGACTTACCACGCTAACGGATTGCGTTACCTGGGGTTTTCTTCGTTCATGGTCAGACCGTGTCTGCGTAGGTTGTTTGGCCTTGGTATGGTTCGCAAAACGCACGGAAGCTGCTGTAACGCCTTGTAATTTATAAACTCGACAAACTCAAACACCTAGTCTCCTAAGGCACAATAACCACGCAGGCAACTAGGCTAATTTCATGGTTTACATGGGTGTACATCTAACGGCTACCTAGTAAATAAGTGTGAAATTACGTAAATAAATCCATATCTTCAGGTCTAAATCAGGTAAACAAATAAATAAATTTTTCATTCTACTCAGAACGCTACTTCGTAGAATTTCCTAAGAACACTTTTTATGAACTGTTGTAGTGGTCCCCATTCGGAGTATACTCTCTATGTTGTCGTATCAGAACGCCATTCGGTCTGCGCATTTATTTTATGGTACTAGATGGTCTCTTGTGTTTCGGACTTGCTACCTCATTCAAACGATCGATTTTTGCGTCAGGCAATTGAAGACACAAAGATGAACCTGGTTTACACAAATGTTACTGATTTTAAATTTTACCGACCAGCTATGTGAGTCAGCATTTTTAATGCACACACCCAATGAAAATAGCCAATGTGTGATTAAAGTCATTAATCACATTGTACCTAGGCGTTACCAATTATCTTAGACAAGTAATCACATGGTACAATAATATAGAAAAACGTGCTTTTGTCTGCCAACTTCGTAGATTTGCCGACTTGTTTCAATCAGACAGCCAGCTGAATAAGGAAAATTTAAACTTTTAAGCAAGTTTACGGATAGGAGTGGCATTCGGGCTAGCACCTACGGCTTTCATTAGTACTGATTAAAAAGCAACAGTGCATGAAATAATTTGTTTAAAAAATCTCCGGTACTAACGACACCACCTAAATGATTAAAAGAGAAGATCGAAAAGGTGGAGGTACAATTTGAAGCTAAAATTTCTGGGGAGTTTTACAAGGGTGTACAAGGCAGAAATGTCTAACAGCAACTTCCCTCATCAAGCTCGCTTCCTTAATAAATTGTGATGGTTTGGGTGCTGGATACACAGCGCATAATATATCTGTCATGCTATTCATATTTCATTTAGTGTTTTAAATTCTATCCTTGCAGGGCGCTGTTTACAATCTGCTTGATAGCTCTCAATTTTGACATCTGAAATTCGTATTGTATTACGATTTCTAAGATTTTTTAAAATCTTAAGTAGTTGTTGGCATCGCCAAAGAACAGCGAGCATTGTTATGTTCTTGTAAAGCTAAGGTCATTTCGCAGTTGAAAAGCACTAACTGTGTGATAACTGCAATCCTATTTTAGTTATGCAAAAAGTTCGTTTTTCGAAGCCTGATTTCAAAAAAGACGAGTTAAAACGAAATTAACGAACCGAAGCATTAAATTTTACGAAGTTTTACAGTCCTCGAGATTGCAATTTCTATGAGCAATTGGCGGCTTTGAACTCACAAATGATAATAACGGTAAGAGTTGCGTAAGAAAATGTTCAGTTAGTTAAAAGAACGGTACATTTAGTTAGCACCACTTAACCAAAAGACGACAGCGGATTGCTTAGGCATGATACATTGCTTCAACCTTAGGTGGTACCCAAATTCGTGTTAATTTACGCGCCTGCTTTAAGTTCCCCATGGTGCTCACACTGAAATGGACAAGTAATAAAGTATTTAAAATAAGCTCTTTTCGATGTTACGAATCCTGAGGTTGTCTGCAAAATCGTTGAAATGGTTTAAAATATCTGCGTTTACTGTAACCTGAGCAGCTAGATACATTCAAACAGTAGTCACAGAGAGATTAAAGGAGAGAAGTTAAACTGAGGTCCCTTCCATTACGTATTATGACTTTAAAAACAAGCCACATGGTCCAAAATTTAGATTTGCATTTCGTCCTTAAATAAGTGGTATAAAAGAAAAAGGGATTCAGTGATTAAACTTTAGTAAAAGGACCCTGTTCAATTATAAGTAGTTAAGATTTGTTATCGAAAATAGGTTATTGTAGGTTTATGCATGCATTCATTAAAGTCGACCATTGTAAAATAAAAGTTGTCATAAATGAGGTGTTTGAGTTATCAAAGTTAGAGCTGCGGTTTTGAGCAAAAAGTTAATACCAAGAGCTACAAATTAAAATTAAATTTTAGCCAAATTTATCTGAATAAGGGCGGTTTACTAAAACAAATTTATAAAAATTAAGAAATGATTGCTACTCCATAAAGAAAAATGAAAAACTTCCGCGAGGAAAAAGGTACCAGCCGTTGTCAAAATTCTCAGCGAATGTTATTAACTTTTTTTTACACCTGGAGTAGCCTAGGTGCAGCAAAACACTGGTAATTAATCGAGTTACAAGAAACATTGAATAACACTTCATGTACATAAATCAATGTTGGATCAAAATTCAGGCGGTAGAAATGCATTAGTGTATTACTAAGTTGTGATAAGAATTTGCCCAACTTTAGTGCACGTAATAAAAACGGTATCTGAGAAAGAATTTAGTAATGATCGAAATCCACATGGGAGAATGTCATGGAAATAAACAAGTTATAACATATCGTCGCACTTTCACATGAGCCTCAAGCAGATTTGCACATCTTTAATGCTATACAATGTGGCTGCAAAATTTCAAGTCAGCGCTTGCCAAAATGTAGGCGAATTTATCACCGGTATTTTTATAGAAAAAATAAGTTTTCTTACGAATAAACACATCAGACAAACTTTAACTACAATTCTATGCATTAAAAACTAACTCTGCATTGCAAAAATGTTGTATTTTTTCAAGAGATTAAAAATTCAGAACATTGTTAATACGCAATGTTGATTTGCGAATTTTTTGCAAAGTTCGCCCAATATTAAAATCCGAAAAGGTTTATTAATTATTGAATTCGTACCAAAAATGTTTTTTTCTTCCAATCAGCTAAATTATTGAAACAGTGATTAAAAACATGTCAACACAAAATCATCAAATTATTTGAAATATTCATGAGTTTATCTAGTAACTTGATTTAAAATAGCGAGTGACCTGTGCATACCATAGGTAAATTCACGGATTTTAGTATTCCTCAATTGTTTTAGCTTGCTGCAGAAAATGTGCATAATCTGACATCATATGGTGATTTTGTATAATTTTTTCCCCAAAAATGCCCGAGTCATATTCGTCAACAGAAGTCGTATTAGCCTCGGAAGCCACGGATTTTTACAATCAGTCTCAACTGGACGCCTGTTGGACTCACATGAGGAAACTTCATTCGACGCGGTCTTCTGATCCCAAGGTAATTTCATTGCGATAATCTGTTGTATAACCTACGTTGTGGCAATGTATGTTATTATCGACTCTTTGGACACAATACATGATTAAATATTGCCTTGGTTAACATTAGGTTGTAGAGTCACACATGTTTTCTCTGGCACTATACCTAATTCGTTATTGCTCGTATACTCTGGAAATTTGCTCTTGCAAGTTAACATTTTGTAGTCCAAGTTATCTTCCTCTGCTAATGGATGAGAGACCGGGATTTATTTTCTCTTCAACTTCTGCATTATTCTGTCAACTTGCCCACTTGTCCTTATTTGCAAATGGCCCCCTTTTTGGAAGCCTCAAGATTTTTTATGTCTTTCGCCTAGTGTTGGTGGCTACTTCTTTGAAATAATTTTTTTTTGGATTTGAATTGAGGTTTTTAAGTGATCCCAACCCTCCCTTGTTAACATGAGGTATTTTGCATCAATTTACATTAGGTTTTGGCAAATAAGGCCCTCATCGATTTACTCCATCGGTCAAATTCCACCCGTTCAGATGAGTACCTCACACAACTGCAAAAGGCCGCTTCACTCGCCGGATCGCCTCTTTTTATTAAGAATGATTCTGACTCCCATCCTGACACCTTACAACCCGCCTCTCCTTCAGCTAGTCCAGCTGTCCTCTCGATACACTACAATTACGCCCTCGTCATGTTCCACCGTCGACAATTTGTGCGATCCGAACGACTACTAGCTGGCTTGCTCGGGGTAGAAGCGTTGGCTACAGCGCCAACTGCAGCCCAACTCCCCATGTGCGCTGGGTCATTACTCTGTCAAAGGTGCATCCTACTTTGGCTAGACGTTTGCCTTTGCCTTAATCGCCCACAGCGGGTCTACGATTTCACCTGTAAGTTTGCTTATTACTTCGTGCGATCTGAACAAAAACCTAACATCTGTCCTACTCTTTGTTGTTAATCATCCACTTTGTCGGGTCAAATACACGAAGTAGTCCAAACTCCCACCCCGAACACTTTGTTTCTCTGTGCTGTCCTAATATGTATGTATGTATGTATGTTCTTGCGACTAAGTTGAGTTACTGTACTTACCTTTAAACAAAGTTTAAATATGAACTATGCCTCGACTTGTTGAACCTATTATACAGAAGCCAATTCGTAATTTAGGGGATTTGATCCACAGTAATTCTAAATGATTACTAGCTCATTGGCTGCATCAACTGGAATCGGTGAACGCAAGTGCGGGAACACCTGCGGACACACAAGTCACTGAGACGCTTACCGCAATTGCCCAGCCACTGCGTGTCTTCCGACTTCGTGCCGCTTTGCTAACTGGGCGCTTAAAATTTGCCGAAGAGGAGGTCGCTCAATTGTCCAAGTCACTGAAGGAGTTTCCCGACAAAACATGGGACACTTCCAGAAGTCTCGAGTACGCTCGTGCGCAACTTTTATTTTTAAAGGTATGCATATCATGCTTATCTTGTAGACGTGGCTACTGATTTTTGGTTTTAATTCCGACCTCGGAACATCTTCTTTCAAGGACTCTGATGTCCACACTTTCTGTACCCCAAATGACTACAAATACCGACAGTTTCTGTAAATTTTGTGTATCATGGCTAGTTTGATTTAGAGGCCCCAATTAATGCCACTCCTCTTGTATTTCCTGATCTGAAGGTACAGAGATATATTAATTACTATGGTTAGATTTCCTCAGCTACTTTCAAAATGAATTCATTTACGTTACTCAGGCACGAGCTCAGTCTTGAATTTTTTTGTAGCGTGACCACATGAAGGCGATAAAGTGCCTCAACAGTCTTCAAATCACATCGTCAAATCCCTATTCAACTGAAACCGAGTGGGAGTGCCCATTGGCGTGGAATAACCTCTCATTGTCGCACTTTTGCGCCGGTCAATTATCGCTCGCTACTTTGAAGATGCGTCGTGCTCTTCGGCAAACCGATCGCCTGACCTCCAACCTGATTGACTGCTCGTCGGTCTCCACCAGCGAAGGTGGCGGTGGAAGTGGAGGCGGTGCCAATGCCCAGGGCAGCCGTAGCGAAAGCCATGTCACTCAGCTTATACGACAGATCCCTCTACAGCAGCTTGGAGTGAGTCAGCATCATGCGCTGCTTCACAACGCCGGCGTTCAGTTCCTATTCACGCAGCGACCCGAAAGTGCATTCAACGCTCTCCTCAGCGTCGTCAGAGTGTATCCGCGCAATCCGCGACTGTGGCTTCGCCTCGCCGAGTGTTGCGTCAGGGTGCAGAGGTGGGCTGTTTGGGTTTTTAAATGAGTCAAACGTGGACATGCCTAACGCATATCGTCGCTTCCATTTCAGACCGGATACCTTGTCCGATTGGAAAGTTGAAGCACGCGCGGGTTGTCTGATCGGCACTCTGGGCGAGGGTTATGCTAGGAAGCTCATCATTGGAGCCAATCCTGACGAAGTACGTTGGAGGCGCTTTTGAAAGTAGACTTGTTCGTAGTGGCGACTGAGGATTCGTAAACACTCTGAACTCCCAATTAAATCGATAACTAACTCGTGTTACCACTGCGTCCACTCAGAGACGATGTAGACTAAATTGTTATGGCTGTGTTGGAATTGGCATTTTGTGTGCTTTGTCCATACAGTCAGAGAAGCCGTGGATTGAGTCTGCCACAATGCCGACGCCAACTCTGGAGTTCGCCGCTCTGTGCCTCCGCAACGCCCTCTTCCTCCTCCCCAGGCCTCCCACGGACCTTGGTGATGCCAGTACAAGCTCTGAGGGCACTGCAGTTGAGCGCCAACGCATCGCCCTCGTTAGATGGGCCAGCGAAAGAGTAATTCTATCTTTTTTCTCAACGTTTTACTCGTCTTTTCATGATAAATCTCGATAGGTGCAAGAGCATGCGGAATCGCAAGCTCTACTGAATGAAGACACAACGCAAACGCAACAAGAGCTTGCTGCAGCTCAGTTAGGAGTCATCCGAACAGAGTTTGCACCAAATGGGAAAAATTCAACAACCTAGAAGTTGGGTCCCCTCACATGTGTTGACCGAACACAACCCACTAGGTCAACGCATGAACGCACGCCTTTCATTGTTTGCCCGCATCTTGTGGAAAATTGTGACTCGTGTTGAAAAGTACACTTTTTACGAAAATCCAAATTTTAAAGTTTTCGGTGGACGCGCTGCAAAGTCATGGAAAAGATGGCAATATTTTCAAGAATAATTTTTTTTGTTCTCTCTTTTTATATAACCTAATTTACTGAAAGATCTGCAAAAAAGTAATTCATACACGTAATAGTTATTTTAGTGCTACGATGTTGTTCTTCACGAGTAAACCCTCAAATGGTAACAGGCCACTCTACCACACTAATTTACGTTTCGCGACAATGATTACGCCGTGAATTTAACGTCGTGCATATACCGTGGGCTTTTCAGAAACGAAATTACTTGATATTAAGGCTGACTCTCCCTCTCTCTCTCTCTCTCTCATCACACATATCGGTTTACTTCAGGCCGTGCCAGTTTTGCCGTCATGCCAGCCCCTGAGCGGAATGGCCTTGCTGCAGGTTACCTCAGCAACCCTCCTGACCAGCGCCTACGTGGCGCTCTGCCTGCAGAACCCTGTGGAAGCGATGCACTATGCACAGCAGGTTCTCTGCGTTGTCCCGCCAGGCGACGGCTCTACCGACAGCGGTGGTTCTACGACAACCTCGTCGTTCAGCGGCGCATTTGGCTGGATCGGGCTTCTGTCACCGCCTGCGCATCGATACCTCGCTAAAATATACCTCGCAGAGGCCCGTGTTGCTTTGGACCAGTAAGTCGCTATGTGGGCCTTCAGAAAAAGATGGCTGTACTTAGAGGTGTGTCTTTAACTATCCGGCAGCCCAATCGAGCTGTTCCAGTAAGACGTAATCAATATATTTTGAAGTATGGATGCTTGAATCTTTCTTTTTATTGTCACCAGGGTCCACGAGGCTTGTATCACTCTGCTAGCCAAGGATTACGTCGAACCCAGTGAGCCTCCTCTTCCCTCATCAACCCATCCAACAGCGTCGTACGCAGCGTTGCAACGCGACTGCGCCACACTTCTGCCAGACTTTCAGCTTCCACAAACTCATCCGCTATGTGGTGTGCCTGCGGATTTTGCCACAAGCAGCACCAGAGCGTCCAGCAGCCACTTGGAAGGCATCGCCATGTTACGAGAAGATCAGCATGAAACGGAGCCCGGTCCTAGGCAGCTAATGGCACCGAAAAACCCGGATTTTCCTCTCACCATGGAACAGGTAAGTTAGTTAATCAGCATGCGTCTCATAATAAACCTTTGTTTTGGGTCTCGAGCTGAGATGTTTTGTCTTTCAGGCTGTCGGCGTTTTGCTCTACAACATGGCAGTGTGTCTTGCTGTTCGCGGTGATTATTCGGGCTCTCGGCAGGTCCTCGAGAATGCCGCGCCCGCTCTTTTCATCAATGAACTGGATCCGTACGGCCCCCAAACTATCCGCATTGGAAGTGAGGAGCATCATCGGCTGCTTTACCCACCAGACGCCTCCAATGGTGCCATATCGTGTGTACTGCCCAACCATCATTTCCCATCACACTTTCTTCGACTGTGGCTCTACCTTGAACTCTGTGAGGATAAAGTGTCTTCAGCGGTTCAATTTGCGCGAGCATATCTAGGCCATGTGGCGTTCGCCAATCGATTCACGGATATCGCTCCGAAGGAGGAATGTGCCAAGGAACCCACACCTCCGGTTGTCTTTGAAATTGGCGGCGGTGGTGGTGCCTCCCTTAATAGTGATCAAATGCCTAATTATGCGGATTTCATCAGACAACAGTTTGGTGCACCACAAGGGCGTCGAATGGCACCACTGAAGCCGTCGCAATCTGCCCCACTGCAGATCCAAGACCCACCAACGTCTACAGCAAATGCGGCAGCGCCTTGCTGGACTGACGCTGACTGGCCTCCGTTGTAGTTTTGTTGTAATTTCATTAATCCTATTTTGAAATGAAAGGAATGCTCTCTTGAACAGCGTTTTTCTTGCCAATTATTTCATTTTAACATCGGGGTGCTGTCGCATGCATGGTAAGGTGGGGTGAACTTTCGTCAGCAGGTGACAGTTTAAGTAATTTAACCGACTGAGAGTTTGACGTAGAGGTGAACTATCCAAGAGTCGAGGGATGATTCTTTGTGTGTCGCTTTACAATGTCAGAAGTTGGGGTCAAGGCATCGGTTTTTCACCGGCATCCAGACTAATAGAAAGAACAATTATTGAAGCTAGTTATAAGACACCGGAATATCGTCAAAAATGGGAAAAATATCATTAAAAACCTTCACATGAAAGCGATAACTTGTAGGAAATAATGCGGTTGGCATTCAGTAGATCAGCCATCAATAAGCAAAATATGCAACCAAATTTCTTGAGCCAGTGATAGCCTATTATTATTTATATATTTTTACACAAACTGCATGATAATCGGACAAAATCATGACAAAATAATGTCTGAAGTATCGGCAGGTAATCCTCGTGAAATCGAATGAGCATTAACGATGTAAAAACATTCGAGGTCCATGATTCAAAATTTATCGTTATCTCAATTTGAGCTAAATTTTTGTTTCACCATATTTTAAAAACAGAATCGTTGGTTAGTTGGGAGGCAATACCTAAAAAACTATATTCAAGGTAAATCAATTAAAAGTTTGTTTTCTTTAATGTTAATTTCCTGCAACAGAATCAAATTTCTTAGCGCTGTTTGGGTGAGTTGTCTGTACGGGATTCGCATGCAGCTGAATTTTTATACGCAATACGTGATGTTTGTTATGCATGTAAATATGTTAACAATATTTCCTTTGAAAATCAAGTTATCGTGCTATGCTAAAGAAATAATACCTTGGTCAGAATATCTTACAGTTTTATATGATATGTGAATTTCTTAGTGCTTAGTTCTTGAAACTAACATGGAGATATTAATCAATTTAAAGGTAGTAAAATATAACCTCGAAATTGGGCTTGTTGATGTGTTGTTCTGTAGTTCCTCCAAAGAAATGTAAATGAATTTCGGTTTCAATAATTTCGTGAAGGTCAGGAATTTTTGATTTTTAGTTTATGGTTTGAGCGTACAACAGTGTTGTTGTTGTACACGTTTGTGTAGGAGTCAACGTACTATAAAGGTTTTCAATGTTTCAGACCGGTTGACGGGAAATGTCGCTAGCAGACGAGCTCCTCGCAGATTTAGATGACACAGAGGCTGTCGAAGATGAAGAAGATCCTTTTACTTCAGCAAAAGCGGAATTAGTTGATGCCAGCATAGTTGAGAATGGTGATGTTGAAATGTCAGATATTTCAACAGCCGATGTCTCGGTGTTGCCCGAAAATCTTGTCGGCCCGTTAAAACCGACGCACTTTCTTAACGCACCTATGGTTAATGCACCAATAACCGCTTTTGCAAAGCTTCGAAACAGCGAAAAGGTAAATTTTCTCGTAGTTTTTTTCAAAATTTTCAACAGCTTACCAACGTCATGAGTCAAATTGACGCGTTTTCAAGACAGGATAAGCGGGGACCTATTTTGGGCCCTGTTGAAGCTGACCCTGAGTACAATTGTATAGTTGAGTCCAACAACTTAGTTGTTGAAATAGATAATGAAATAGGTAGCTTTTTCCATTCTGCTGAAAAATTGCATTGCAGATATTATTCACAAGTATGCAAGGGAGATTTACCAGCGTCGTTTTCCTGAACTGGAGTCTCTTGTACCTCTTCCCATGGATTACTTAAAAGTGATATTGGTAAGCCGCACTTTCACTTTCTATATCCTCAGTCGTTATTGATATATTTTGTAAGACCACTATTTTGCGCTATTGGAATCTTAAGGCCCTTTTGTAGACTTATTAGAATTATGTTGGCTCACCATATTCGTTTCACTGTCAGTCGACTCTCACTAAACTGGTATTTTAGAAAACCACAACTTGTTTGATTTAGCTTTTAATTAACGATTTCTGTGTACTCCTGCTGCTTATGAATTTAAATTGTTTGTCTAATTGGGATTTTGGTGAACGAATTCAGTATATTTCTTGTCACTAGACTTTGTTGTAACGTGGCATATATATCCATGGTATAAGTGTGCCGACATATTAACATAACGAGTCTTTTTACAAACCAGATGTGAAGTAACGTTAATCTTGAAAATCAAGGTCAATAATTTGTTTACTGCAGGCTCTCGACAATGACATCTTGGAGCGATCAAAAAATACGAGTCTACTGGCGTCTTTCTTGACACCCGCGACTATTATGGTTGTCTCCGTGACAGCCTCTACAACCCAAGGCGTTCCGCTAGAACCGGGTGCTCTGAATCGAGCCAAAGATGCCTGCGTAATGGCTATTGAGTTGTTTGAAATGCGGAAGACTATTTTGGACTACGTGGAATCACGAATGTCCTTCATTTCACCCAACGTAAGCATCCTCGTGGGTGCTTCCACTGCTGCTAAACTGATGGGTGAGATTTTTTATTTTGTTCTACTTCCTTTTGGTCTATGAAAACGTACCACGCGCCATCTTCAAACTACTGTAAAAGGCAGTTCAACTCGGTTAAGCATAAGTAGACCCACGCGTGTGTTTAATCGACTCCAGTTCTGAAGGAAATCTGCAACATCAGTTTCTTCGCCACTAAAGACTGGCTAAACGATCTGGACGTTAAATGTTCACCAAAAAGATTTTAAGATTTCTGTGAGTTGCCGCAATTTGCAAAAAAAACTATTGTTCTACAGAGCTTGTGATCGGTGCTACTCATTTGAACCACTAACAACAGCATTGACAACTACAGTAGTAGTGTAATTGGATAATAGGAACTGTGCTTCTGCTTTAGGCGACTGTTTACTGAGTGCTAGTGGTGGGCATGACGCTACCAGTTTCGAAATTGACGGTTCCAAATGCATTAAGTCAGTCGTGAAATCACACTGTCGTAGGATTTAGCTTCTTTGTGCACCTTATCGGACCATGCTCACAGAATAAGTTTCTACTGTCCGAAATAGCCCAACCAATCACAGTCTGTGTTTTATCACTACCGCCAACCAAAACAGTCATTTCAATGCCCAGAAAATCGGTCGTATCCTCCCGGAGGCGATATTGCTTCCAGCGTTAGCGGTGCTTGTTTTGGGTTGTGGCGTCCGTGTTCGTTCGTTGAGGACGTGCCTCCATGAATCGGTATTATTTTTGTGAGCTTCCAACCGATCTGTTACCTAGCAATCAGGAGATGATTACGAAGACTTGGGTAAATTGAGGCTAGCCGCTATTTTAGTCGTACTCGAGTTATTGTAAGCAGAGCAATTAGAATGGTATTGCTTAACTAGTCCGGAATGACAAAATATTTGAATAGACACTGATGATTGTGATGGCCGATTATGTACTTGTGCTAAATGTACTACTGAATTCCACTTTTAATCTGACGACTGGACGAAGGTGGCAATCGGAGTAACCTGGCCCCAAAGCATGTTAGCCTATTACTTAACAAACTCCAAGGTCGGGGTCAAGAATCGATAATTTAGGACGTAAACTCGTGTTCAAACAGAAGTGTGCGTTGCAATTAATATTCTTGTGCACCGACCACAGTCATTTTGGTGTTGTGTCAAAAGCCTGGTAACCAATAAGGCACATGGCGACTAGGACCAGCGGGGAGACCATCAATCGACAACGCTTGATGCCTTGTTTTAATATCCATGCAATTCACTCCATATTGAAAGGTCGTGCCGGGGGTCTTACTGCGCTGTCCAAGATGCCGTCGTGCAACGTCCAGGTGCTTGGAGCGCAGCGCCGAAGTCTGGCCGGCTTCAGCAACAACGCCAGCCTGCCGCACACCGGCTACATCTACTACTCAGAATTCGTGCAGAAGCTGCCGCCTGATCTGCGCTCCAGGGCGGCACGTTTGCTCGCGAACAAGGTGACACTGGCTGCCCGAGTTGACTCCTTCCATCGCTCGCAGGTTGGTGCAGTCTTGGGTCTAGTGTCTCCACAACCTTTTGGTTCTTCCCGGTGTTTAAAATTCTCCCTCTGGTGGTTGCTCGGTGTTCTCATGGTTGCAAATCACATCGTACACACAAGTGGCTGATAGACAAAACAAGGCGGCACTTTCTTACTGGCGATCTAGTCTATCTATCGACAAGATACTTCGTAGTTTCTGGTGCAACCAATGAACACAATCGCAAGAAACAAAACAACAACTAATCTACTATGGGCACAAATAAGTAAAATTCACGAAAATACTGGATTCCAAACGCCCTCTTAACAACCCTCACAAGGGTGCATATCGCTAGCATATCGAGATGAAAGACTTCTTTTCAGAGACTGGGATGCCCAAGTGAATCGGGTGGCATTTAGAGCATTTTTGGTTGATTGCGAAGTGTGGACGTCGTAGACACGCTTCTAGTCAACCACCCCACTTTGGGCAAAGAAAATAAAGCTGCTATCGACAACTGTTACCCCCAGCCTCGTTGCTGAGGTTCCAGGCTGCTTACCTAATCCATTCAAATCTAGTAAATTGCCGGTTCCGGATCAAAGTGTACAAACCTTGCTCTCATGTTTGCACATATGAGTTGTGGTGTCAGGGTTCTTGTCAAAAACAGGGCTTCATTTACACACACCACTGCGGTTTGGAATGTCATTGTGACAGATTGCACCCCTTAACCCTCTTTTGTCACCAACAGGACGGAACAATCGGTGAGCAGATGCTCTTGGAGGTTGAGAAGAAGATCGACAAGTGGCAGGAGCCACCGCCAGTCAAGCAGATCAAAGCCCTCCCCGCTCCCATCGACCCACCGGCCAAGTAAGTGCCATCACATCCGTGTTGCTATTCAGATTTCTTGAACCGTAAGTTAGTTATGCATACGACTCTTTTTGTAACCCAGAAAGCGTGGTGGGCGACGGTACCGCAAGATGAAGGAGCGACTGGGTATGACGGAGTTGCGCCGGTCCGCAAACCGCATCCAATTTGGTCAGGTGAGCGAGGACGCCTACCAATCGGATTTGGGCTTCTCGTTGGGGTCCCTGGGCCAGCGGGGCATAGCTGGGCACCTCCGGGTGCCCAATGCCGACTCAAAAACAAAGGCCCGTGTCAGCAAGGCACTGCAGCAGAAGCTCTCCAAGTACGGCGGTCTCTCAACCATGCCAACCACGGTTTTGGGAGCGACAAGCTGGGGTGGTGCGTCATCGATTCGACGAACTGCTGGCTCGGAAACCGCGGGCACGGCGTCTTCGGTGACATTTACACCAGCACAGGTAAGTAGGGTCTTACATGTCGACCAGGAAGTCGCCTAGCTACACCCCCGCTGGACGCCTCATCGATGTTCTTCTGGTGTTTCAGGGTCTCGAAATCGTGAATCCCATGGCTTCAGAAAAGCAGGTCGATGAGCACAAGAGATACTTCAGCGCGACCGCTGGCTTCGTCAAATCGAAAGCAAACTCCAATGAAGGCATGCCACCGCCAGCGCAACCAACAACAAAGTAAAGACTAGCCGCGCACCAATTTGCGCATCTGTTTTGTATATACATATAATAATAAGCTTTGAATGACGAGGTTTTTTTGACGCCCCAATATCCCGGCAATGGTGAAAACGCGCTGTCAGTAAAAAACATGGTAGTAAATAATTATTTGCAAGAACGCGATTCTAATCCAAGAATCACAACTCAGTTGGTTCGTTCTGCCATCCTGGATCTGGTTTGGCTCAGACGGTCCAGTCGTTGAACCATTACCTGCAGGAACAGCTGGTCGTTGGATGAGAGGTAGGGCGCCTAGAACGTGAAGGGAGAAAGGTGCAGGGGTGATTCCCACGACTTTATAGTTTGATTTGAAAGAAGCAACTCAAAACACCTGTCAGCGTTCAACAGAAACAGAATCGATTCAATGAAATGAAAGCCTAGGGCCACAACTCGTGAGGCTGTTTGGCTGACAGCACCGAATCTTCTCCACCAATCGGCTGTTTGGCGTTCTCATCACCTTGGATGTTTTGACCTTACAAACACTGAAAGCAGTTTACGGCCTCCTGGATTTACACTTTTTTTACCGATTCTATTCCTCATTCGGTTTGTTGAGCACGGAATGAGAAACCGTGTATTCCCATATCCGGATTATCGTCCAAGAGTGCAATAGTTGACAGTAGCTGGGACACAATTTAACAACCCACGACAGTGGCAACTAGGTGACGTAAAATCCATGTCAATAAATAGGGTACCACGCCTGAGCCAAAGCTGTGGTGACACGAAATCAGGCAACTCAAATGAGACCCACCTTAGAGACTTGAGTGACACTGTCGAGCAGGTCAAACGAGAGCCTACGCGGAAGTTGATCGAGTAGGTGTTCATGGTCCACCTCTGGGAGCCTTGTTGGTGGACGAGGGGTGCTGGAACTGTTACTGCGGACTTCGGCTTCGATCAGCACCTCTTGCCTGCTACCACCAACGTTGACGAAACACATGACGTGTCGCCAGAGTAGGTACAGTGACTGCTCTAGGACGTCTAGTAATGAAGCAGAAAGGAAAAAATTAGCTGAAGGACCCACGTGGGGGACGTGGACGAAAGGAGAACCAACCAATGAGGCAGCTTAGCTGCGTTTGCAGAAGTCCGCCTCCGACTGCGATGAATCGGCGTAGGTAGGCATTTCGTTGTCCCGCGTCAATGCCGAAAGTACTGCCAAAACACGAAAAAAGACAGCTAGTGGTTGGTGAGGATGATTAAAAGCCACACACGACTCCCACAAGGCGCACTCAAGAACGTTGAGTGGCATCGGATAGGCGCTGAAATGCACTCACTTTGTCTGCAACAACTGGGCAGTGATGGGAGCCCATACCGAAAAGATGCTTGTGGCTATTTGACGCAATCCGTCAGTCGAGATCTCCTCGCCAGGGTAGCTGATCGCAACCTAAACAAGGCATCAGAAACGTCCGGTTAGAAGTTTCCACAAATCCAGCTCGCCAAGCAGACTGACCTTCACTCGAATCGCACCGTCGGAAGGCACTAAGGGAAGAACGCACTTACAGGGAGGTCGATGAGACACTGGAGCACCTTGTCCACGGGCGGGTTCGCGTGAACCCGTCGGCTGTCGTCACCTTCTTCCCCCTTCGTGCTGGCGTTTCTGTTGACGACCAACAGAGACGGGGGCAGATGGCGGGTGGTCGAGGTTACAGCCGTTTCCAGGTGATGCAGGCGGGAGGCTGACCAGGACACCAGCTGCAACAACAGGTGAAGGCTGGGACGACCTGAAGGTCCATCGGAGACCGATACTTCACCCGTGGAATCAGCTAAAGGATAGTGGATGGATCTCGTGCTTCGTAGACAGAGACGGAACAGTTTAACTACCGCTGCACAATAATGAAATGAACAGGGTTGGGTCATTGGGAACACGTGGAACACAGGCACTTTCAGATTCTCTGTGAACACTTTATGTTGGATTCACTGAAACCATTACGATCCTTTTCAATTGGCGAACGTTGGTTGCGTGAACATGCTCCCTAGAAGTTGTGGTGGGATTTTCTGTGACCGCAACTTCCAAAACTGCACCAGCCTGATATAGTAACGAGGTGTTTAAAAAAAATTCCAATGAAATACGAGGTTATGGGGGAGGCAGGTACGTGAAAGCACTGAAAACGTGATAGGGGGATTCTTACGTCGGGGCACCCTAGGCGAGAGGGACGATGAAAAAATGAGATTCTTCAGGAAGGTGGATTCAAAATTGCCAAACTCATCCTCAGTAGACACGGCGGCCACACACGTGGTCACTAGCACACGCAGCAGGGTAAGTTGCTTCGTTGTGATAAGGTTCCGCATAAACGTTTGCCTGGAGAGTAGGCAAAACAGAGAACAAGTTTGTGAGTTAGGACCACGACAAAGTGTCATGCGAAGACAGGCTAAAACTGGGAAGGCACCACAGATAGTTCACGAAGTTGAGGTAAATCATATGAAAGTGCTGCAATGACGGGCTACATGATGGAAAATCAAAAAACCTAACGCGGATCCACGGGCTGGCAAATTGGTCCCTGGATCAAGGTCATCCAAAATCACATCCAGAAAAACGTCAATCAATTTAGGGTAAGTGGCAGAAGCAGCGAACTGCGAAGCCCGTAGCCCACTCACTTTGCACTAATCGATCCAGTGGCTGCGAGGGAACGCTGTTCCTTGACTTGAAGCGCCTGGAAGAGGTCGTGGAGGATCGCGAAAACATGACGCAACGTTTTGCTCCGCAGCAACTCCCGAGGGAGGTCATCGGGTCTGAGCGAAAGAAAGCAAAACAGTGAAAGAAAAGGGAAAAAGAAGGCGCGCGCCTGTGCGAAAAGTCCAATCGCCTACTCTGCAAGACTGGAGGGTATTCGCGCGCGCAGAATGAAGGAGAGAAGGTGCGCAAGACTCTCCTCGCCATGAAGCCATTGAAGGATCGCGAGGACTAGCTGCTCCTGTCGGCCGCTGGACCGTGCGTCGGTTGCTTCACCGCCGTCCTCTTGGAAACACTCCTGGGTGAGCGCGAGGGCTAGACGGGCTGCCGAGGTGCTGGCGCCGACTGTCAACAGGGCGTCTGAGTGCGTATACACGAATCTGGAGACCTTTTGAACAGCCGAGACGTGGGATGGACCTTTAGGACGAAAAGAGAGAACGACCAAGGAGGAGGATAATTCAGCCACCAGAAGTTAGATGACTGCCCAAGGCAATAAAATCGAATTAGTGAACACTAAACCGACTTCCCATGAGCTGAACCTAGCTAGTTTAAGTGAGAATGAGACAGATGAATGCAACTTTAGGCAATGAGATACCTAGGGTGAAGGCAAGAGCCTTTGCAAAGGCCAGAGCTGGTTCGAGAATCCCGATCCAAGTGAGGCACTGGCCAGGATCAGCGGAGGTCGTAGGACTCGACCCGGACACCGAAAGGAGTTGAGAAGTGACCAGGGGCTCGATCAGACCAGACGCACAGCCGAAAAATTGACCCGCTTCTTCCTTATTCACCATGGCAAGCAGGAACTGCGCAAATTCGTGAGAATCGAGCCAAGCGAGAGGATCGGACTGGTTTTCGTTGGCAATGTCTCCACCACTACCACCACCACGAGCAGCTGCAACCGAGAAATTGAAAGCCTCGGCCAGACAGGAACCAGAGAGCGGTTCAAAGCGGCACAGCGTGGAGTCCAGAAGGTGGGTTTGGATGAGGCTTTTGGCGCCCAGTTGGGTGGAAGCAGCGAGAGTGAGGAAGGCCATCTTTGATTGGTAGACGTAGAAGACAGCAGTGGCGTCAATTAGGCCCTTTGCATTGCCCGTCCCGTTGTTTGTCATTCCCGTGGACGATGACGAGTCACTTTGAGTGAGCAGGAATTGCTGGAGAATAGCCAAGTCATCCTCCAGACTGTCGACGCAAGACTGGAAGAAGGAACAATGATGTGGAAGCAGGCAAAAAACGACTTACACTCCATCTAACTCGAGTTATGAGGACGAATATGGCAGCAAAGCTGGAGACTGATGTTAACGAAGGTCCAATTCTGGTTGCTGGGAGATCGGACAAGAGTTTGGTGACATTGAGGGCGACTAACTCTACTTTCATGTCATTCAGAAAGGTAATTACATATTACTAGTACTTGAAAACGTTGGAGGGCTGAGGGCCGGCCTGGCGCTTACCTGTAGGCAGCCATCGCGAATAACAGTCTCCAAAATCTGCCCCGAGGCACGATCCAGCTTCATGAGCATGCAGAGCAACCCCAAGGCGGAGATGGGAATGATGGGATGGTGACCCCTGGAAAGGTCGTTGAAGAGGATCGTGAGGAGGGAACTCCTCACACCGCTGCCAACATCGCAATCACTACTACCTGAGAGAATATTGATCGCCCGGAGGGCCATGGGGGGCCCCACTGTGCTATCGCTCGAGGCAGCCATCTGTTGATCTGGAGGGACAAATTGAGGAAGCCAGGACTTGAAAAACACGCTTGTAGATCAAAATAATTCGAACTGTGAATCGATCAAGTTGGAAGTACGTCAGGAAAAGGCACCCCATACGGCCAGAGCCTTATCATTCGCGGACTTATACAATTACGAGCAGGGGAAATTAGAGAACAGGGAGTTATGGCGAGACACTGAAAACTTACCCAACTGTTGACAGACGTCCAACACATAACACAGAGCACCGTAATAGTTGGCACGGGCGCGTTGTTGAGTTGGTTCTAAGTAGAGCAAAAAGGGAAAGCGCGAGTCCACAGTGGGGATATTTCGGTAAGGAGCACCGAACACCGCTGGTGACGGCGTCCTCGACGTGCACGAACAAGTCAATTGAAAAAAAACCGAGTCGACTCCATGGAATGAGGAGGAGGAGGAACTCACTCGAGGACAAGACAGCCTCCAGGAGAAGCTGGGTGATCGAAAGGACGCCCTGAGCTCCGCGACACTTCGGATTGGCTATTGCACCGTCGGCGGAGGAAGGCGAAGCGAATATCTGCAGAAACGCCGCCAGACTGAGGCAACTGCCGCTGGCTAGCACCTTCAGCACAGCGGGTGACGTTTCGGGGGCACAGACCTTAAACAATACGCAAAAAACGACTTAGCAATCCCATAGCTTTTCAACTAAGGATACCATACAAGATGAATTTGGAATGTTTCTGCCAGGCTTTTGATAAACACCGACATTCATTGGGAAAGTAATTATGAATTGAAGGGTCCACCGAAAGCAAGAGTTTAAGCGTCGCCCCACTAAGCGTTTAAACTGACCACAATCGCCCGGACACTTTGAATTACCTGACGAAGCATGGGGCCAAGAAGCGACATAGCGGACGAGAAGAGGTACCGGTTAACAGAAACGGTAGCGGCGCTGGTTGTCGACGTGAGCGAGAGCACGTCGGGATTGACTCGGGCGAGGAAGTGAAGCATCCGCATGCTGATCTCGGCCAAGTGTCGCCAGCCCTCCAAGTAGGCCTGTTTCCCGGACACGAGAGCGAGACGGTGCGCGTTGCGGTGTTGGGCCCACTCGGCCACATCGCTGACCAGTGCGTCGGTGACGTCCCCAGAGGCCCCATCGAGAAAGACATTCAACCGACGGGCCAGGGCAAGGGTGTTGATGACGCCAGAACGCAGAGCTGCTTGGTCGACGTTCGGGATGAGTGGGAAGGGCTCCTCACAGGCTACGACAATCTAAAAGGTCGCGGAACCACCGACAGTGAATGGGCATTTCAATAATAGGACGCGTGCATGGTGGCCAACTAGCGAAGTCTGTTCAATGACCGTGAAGTAACGATCAAATCAAGGCGTACAAAATCTTAGGAACTACGAATTACAACTAATAGTCAGGAGCAAAGGGAGGGGGATCGGTTTTGGTGCGAGAACACTCACATCTTCCACGAGTCTGGACTCGGCGCAGTCGTGATCAAACACCCACAAGGGACTAATCATTGCCTCAGAGGGATCCATGTGTGACAGAAGATCCGCGAGAATGCGGCCCTGAAGCGCGGAATCGGGCTGGGGATGGAGCAACGAGAACCGATCGACCGCTAGAACGAGGACAAGCAGGGGTGCACGATTAAAGAGCAATGAAAACGTCACACAGGCGAGCATTCAAAGAGGGACGCTTACATGCGCCGTGGCTGAAACCGACTCCCGACTCATCAGTGACAGCAGCAGTAGCAGCAGCATCGCCTGTTGCGAAGAGGTTGGTCAGTAAACGGGCCAGGTAAGTGCGCTGCGATGTTGAAAACTGTATTTCAATAGCAGCCATCTTGAGAAGCCAGGAGCACTGGTTCAGCACTATGGACCGGAGGGCTGAGTAATAGAAATATACAGACAAAATCACATGTGCACTTAAATGCCGGAGAATCATTACTTGATGACTAGGCTACTTCTATACCTCAACAACAACAACAACAGCGAATAACTCGAATATGCCTCTTTGGGGAGCACAAAACCACAGCTCACCACCCAATCAGAGCGCGGTTTCTGAAACAACCTCTAAACAACCAAACAGGGCGAAATCACTGATTACCGTTAGCCGCAGAATTGCCAGCTGGAGCTGACGGCGATGCAAGATGAGCGCTGACAAGTCCAGTGGTGAGATGGCGAGCAATGAGATCGTGGTTGCCTCGGAGGTAGCGCGAGATGGGCACTCCTGTGGTGGAAAAGGCAGACATGAGGTGGTAGAGGATCTGCCACGCCACGGCGGCGTCCCACTGCAGGGCCAGGAAGGCGAGATGCGGTGGAAACTCGTCGAAATCGTCGAGGCTGCTCTCACGGAGGCTGGCCACGGCGACGTCAACCAGGTCGAGGATGCCGTGCAGGCAGGTGCGTGGAAAGCCGCCCACACCGGCGTCCTGTCACGTGGACAGAAACGGTAACTCAGGGAATTCAAGTAAGGGTGCAAATAGGAGGAGTTTACATTAAACAAATTCAAGATTTCGTGACCAATTCGAATACAAATACGACATTCACGCGATCTATCGACTACAACTGTCGCGCCCCATTTCACAAGTTTTCCAATCTCTCTTTTGTATAAACTGTGGCATGTCTTCCAATAGAGCAGTATGGTAGTTTCCACCTTGTTCCAACTAATTTTCAGAAAACAAAACAGATGAAAATGAGAGAAGGTGAGGTTACGGGGAAATTGGCTGGTGGCGGACGATATCCACTTTGATGTTGGGCTGTCAGGATACGAAAAAGAGATAAGTAATCCCAGTGGTTGATCGAACTTCTTAAAGATGCTGTTGTATAGAAATTCGATAGGGCGCAGGTTGCCCAGCTAGACAAAAATGATGTCTATCAAATGTTTCCAAGAAATCAACCAATGTGGTGAATCAACTACACGGTGTTTACCATGGATTGTGACAGATAAAGATTGTCGTAAGACGTCGACGACAGCAGACGGTTACCACGTCTATTTCCCTGCCAGTCTGCTACGGAATCAGGTGAGTTGTTTCTGCTGAAAAAAGTCTTGAATTGCTGCAAATTTTTCTGTCCGATTTGAAACCAAATTATGGGAGAAAGCTGTGCGGTAGTTTCTGACTTGTTCCACAATCAGATTTTGTGACACTCAAAGCAGATGAATTCAGGAAAATTCAGTGGATGCTGGAGGCCTTCGCACTTTGCCGCCTTTAGTTTTTGCAGCGTCAGTTGAGTGACATCTGGTCTAGCGCTGTCATGCTGAACAACAATGCCTTTACGATTGACCAAGTTCGTTCGGTTCGCTTGGTAATTCAGCACTGAGTTGGCAACAGTGCGTCTCCACAGTTATTGGTTGGCCATGTGGAAGAACCTTGCAAACAACGATTGCTCTTTGATCCCCCACCAACCACATAGCCAGACTTTCAATGGATGCGATTATTCACTCCTCTCACTTCCATTCATCCTACCTCCTCTTGTAATGATGATATTTAAAACAACCAATTTGCACCTCAAATTATGATTTGGTCCATGAGAGCGTCGTGCTGTTGATGAGCGACGAGAGGAATGGCAGCGAAACACGCCCAAGTTCATTTAAAAGAAGCTATTTATGATCATGTTGTAATCGTCTAATTGATGCAGTTGCTACGGAATTGTCGTGGTACAGGTTAAAACCTCTGAGGACTCCGCACCATGAACTTGTTACAACTTTGTGTATTGGATGTGACAGAGGCATGTGATTTCAAATAGGCTGATCAACCAGTACGTAGAAAATGAGAATTACGTCGGTGCCTACGCGGGTCAAATTTCAGCTAATTTATAGGACGTACGATTGGGGATACACAAGAGTACTTTTACACTTGACGCTGGAGCACCCAATATGCCTACTTGCATTGCAAAATTCAGCTCACTTCAAACGCGTAAATATCAAATTTAAGTAGCTCAATACTCAGCAACTAGAGCGCTTTCAAGAAGTGGGTGTGCAAAATCCCAAACTCCACGATCTGTTTACAAATATCGAAAAGGCCAAAAATGTTGTCAATTCATAGTAGTAGGCTGCGTTAACCACGCTTTTACCTGGCCACGATTGGCTGGCGAACTGAGTCAGGAGATGTCGCGCTCGCGCCTCATTGGCTGAACATGTCTTCGCTGTGATTGGATTGGCCCCGATGGGTTCAAATCCCTAAAAGTGGCATTCACGAAGACAGTTGTACAGATTTCGGAATAGGAACAACGGGATTTATTATTTGTAGGAATTCACACCCCGAAATGTCATGCACAACAAAACCTGAGCCAATGGACACAGCTGCTGCCTCGGCCACTGAAGTCAACGACACAGCACCATCGCCAGTTTTGAGTAGTAAGTTCAAGGACACCATTGTTTTTTTGGTTTTGTGGGTCTGTACTCTTGTGATAATTTTAAATCTTGTTGAACCACTGATTCATGGCAAATTAAATACTAATTTACTAGCCAAAATTAGTAATTTTTAAGTTTGATTTGTAGAGCGTTATCGATCGAATGAGACCATCTTAAATATGTCGTGGCGCGAAAATTGAAAATTATCATTCAAATCTGCGCAAACCTGACACAGGATATATCAGTGAATTTGTTTTAACCAATCAAAACGTCTGCTTCAACCGCCACCAAGAAATCATAGCATGCACCACTGAAATGCCAAAATTTTGAAGCCAATTCATCTTTAACAGCTGAAGACAGTTTTTCTTGTGAGTTGAGGAGCTACAGGAATGTCAACTAGCGTTTAATTTTATAGCATTCCACGGATAGCGTCTATCCAAGCCACGTGTGCGCTTAGACGCTATCGCCTTGGTCCTATTTAGCCTCAACTTATTGTATTTCATTAGTGTGGTGATGATACTACAACTGTTTTTTTTACGGATGTGCTGTTTGTTTTGTAACCTTTGTACCAGCATTTCATGGACACCTATGGATTTGCTGAAACCATGAGATGCCTTAAGGAATCATCGGAGAGCATATATCCACAAATATCAAACCAATATCCAACCCCCTCAGGTAAACCGGTCTGGTAAATTGTGTCTGATTATGAGCACGCGAAGTAACTTCATGCTCATCCCAAACTCACAGCACTCAAAACCGCGTTCACCTAATGCCCCGCGTAAATTTGACGTGGGTGACCTTCAGGAGTCCATAACACCAGCGCCGCCCACGGAACCAATTAAATTTGAGAAGGTGTGCCTTAATGACCCAATGGGGGAGGGAGACAGATTAGATTTCACTTGTTGTACATTCATGGCAAATTAATTCATGGTTATTTAAAGACAGGCACAAAATAGCGACTTCTGATACCATCTAAAGGTAGCCCATAATTACTTTGCATGCTTATAACCCACCAGACCAAACACAACTACCAACTGCCCCATTGTTCGAGTCATCGCACTGGCCCGTAATTGCCCAGCCTAATCGATAAAAGGGCCAAATAGTGCAGGTCAACGCCTGTAGGGGAGAAGGCTGATTGGAAAGCAGATGCTATCAGCCCCTCTGTATGCAAATCTACGTCGTCGACTTTCGTGCGCACGCCCTGTCGATAGAAAGGCGAGATAAGGTAATGCGAATTCACCTCCTGCGTCCTCGCACAATCTGATAGGCTGTTATCACCACGTTGTGATCGTTGTGAGCAAGCCTGATTACCTAGCCATGATTTGGCGCAGGAGTTTTAATCTAAGTCCCTGAGCTTCCACCCATGCATCTCCGATTGCCAAATGTAGCATCCGTGCTTAAACGGATGAAAATAGCGAGTCGCCAGTAGCACATGTTCCACCCAAACGGGAACTTCTTGACTGAACAGTCCCTAGCGGGGAAATCTCGCTCTCTTTTGGGGAAAAAAACTTATTTAAATGTGTTAGAGTTGATGTACCAGATAAGCGCACTCACGTTGGCGAGTGTACACACACGCTTGCATAAATCTGCGTCGTCTTGCGGTTTGAACTACGTTTGCTTATCTGATTCTACTCCTAACTCTTTCAAATCTCGCGCACATCATGTAGCAGCAAACTACCTCAGCACCAGCCTCTGTAAATGCTTTCGTGTGCTTAGCACTGATGGTAAATCTACCCAACGTCTCGATGGTTTAAGCTTTTTCGCTTCAAGTTATGAACAAGCGTTGACTTATTGACTACCAACCTTGAGGTTGTAATATTAAGAGAAAAAGTAATGCTGACTTGGTTTTCCAAGTCAATTGAAATTAGTTGGCCCCAAGAAATAGACCAGTGTTGAAATATTCTACTTGTATCATGAGTGCTTATGGGTTCGAAATCCGAGTTGACCGTAGCGGGAGAGTTACTGTGGACCGCTGGGACAATCTTACCTCTAATTTCTCTCAAACCAAGACAAAAGGCTGCAGACAAATAACTCCGAGGTAGCATGTAGAACATAAAAGTCACACATAGTGTTATGAGGTCCAACTAGTTACATTAAACACGAAATTGTTCAGGCACCTGTTCTTCTCGCGCGCCAACTAAAGTAGGTTGTTTAACTCGATTTCAAGGATCACAAGTCGTTTCATTTTGATCACCATCCCTCGTGAGCAGGTACCACGCGACACCCCCTGTCCGAAGCTACAGAACGTCCCCAGGTCAGGTCGAATTTAAACCTATAATTGTGTGTATCTATGTAGGCTAGTGTATGTGCGGGGGTTTGTAGTAGGTTGATAGTATCGCTACAGCTCGCGCAGTTAACAGCAAAGATGTTATCGCGCTCCCCCAAAGCTAACACACACACACACATACACAGATGGTTTTCTGTCGACGAAGAGAGAGAGAGAGAGAGCGAGAGAATGCCTGCACCCCGTGTGCTCCACACTGCATCTAGATAAGGCCCTATCATGTCGCTCTTATCGCATGCGTCGCGAGCTCCCTCTCTCTCTAGCTCTAGATACTGCGGCCTCTACACATTCATCAGGCCACATGAACGAATTAGTATTATGCGCACATATGGTTAACCTGAAAAAAGGCATCTAAAAGACTCCAAATTCTTGTTTAGATTCCTCCTAATACACGCCACCACTGCTACGCTATATGGGAGTTACACCAAGGTACAGAATCGTTTAGTCACCAAATTCTGTGTTGAAAACTCATGGAATTTGGAAAACAAGACAAAGGATAGCTGCACATTCCTACATTTACCAATCTGGTTCGTCGAGAAACCAGTGTTCGCCAAGCTTGACACTATTTCTCGGCTGGTGTAACATGGGTGGGTACAAATGTGAGGGCGGATGATGAAAGCTCGTATGGGTTTAAAATTTGGCTAGAAAGCTGTCCACATACTAAATCCGCGCTAAATAGCACAATTGACGTAGAAAGCTGATTTTCTTTAATTTCATGCCTATAACAAAGACATGACATGCGTTTATTAGCGTCAGGACAGCCAAATGTGTGTCTGTGCGCGAGAGTGGGTGAGCGTGATTGTCGATCTGCAACAGTAGCCAATGAAAATCAAGGGTGAGTCACTGACATGAATCAATCTGTAAGCGTGCTTCACCCACGTGCGCTCACTGATGGTCCACTTCAATACACCACCCAGCGTGAAATCGTACCTTAATGCGCGCGACCGGACCCTATCGGCTAGCTCTTCCATTGGGTAATATTTTAACTAGTAAACCTTCCGATGGTAGAACTGGGTCAATTCGTGTCCCAACATGATCGCAAAACAATTCGTAGACTGTGTGCGCCCCAAGAAGACTGACTTTTACTGTGCGTGAACTGAAACTGATCGGTATTCACCTCTTCACTGACGTGTCTGTCAAGTGGTAACGGTAGTCTGACGTTCTACAACAAACATTTTAATGGAGTTTTTCGGTTAAGTTTGGGCTACACGATTCTATAATGGTCTGTGATAAGGGCGTTTTTTGTGAGTTACACGCACGACAGCCCACCTGTTCTGGTGTTTAATAATTTAGTACAGTTTTGTTGTGTGAGGCAGATGATACAATCACTTATCACTGCAGCATCAGGAGGGTAAAAATAGAGCATTCTGTTTGCCAAATTAACGTGGGATTCAACTAATTTTAGGGAAAATTTAAAAAAAAACAACATCATTAGCTGGTTTAAACAAAAACACGGCTAGTAGGCCACAATTGAGGGAGGTTTTTAGTGCGTCAAATCAAAGAAAGCAAGTGTACCACTATGACCGACCAATGAGAAGACGAAAAGGCATATTTATCGCATTAAAACAACGTTATCTATTAGTGCTAAACGTTTGCAAAATGCATCGCGTTACAAGAACTACACAAGGTGGTCGCTTTGGCGACGCCTCTCGAGTTCCTACATCCGGCCTTATCTGATCCCGTGGTTACATGCACACCACCACCTTAGAGAATGGCATGAACAAGGTACAGATTCACGGGCAAAATCTCACGCAAAGGCGTGTGTTTGATGGGTTGCATATCGCACCACACATCTCCGTGTTGAGGAAAGCGCAACGCCACACTACGAGATACTGGCGACCGATAATTGGTACACGCGAATAGCCTCCAACACTCTCAGAACCAGAGTTACCGTAGACTACCACGATAGTTAATTCATAGACTCCTTACAAATCGAAATCGGTGGGTCCAATGTTGGCTGAATTCCCTCCTCCCTATGGGTGTTCTACACTTACTTGCGGAGAGAGAGCGAAGAAGATTATGAAAATTAAACATTGTGCACAGGTGGCTCTCTTAGGTGCGTATCTATGATGAGTTTCATTTTGGTTTAGCACCACCTAATCAGTGTGCTTCGTTGAAATCCGACATGAAGAGGTCGAACTATCGAAATGACAATGAGGAGGGCGCACCAACCGTCTCCAGGAGGAAGTCTCCTCCGCTCGACATTCGACTTCCACTTGAGATGAAGTTGGTTATGCAGCGAGATCGTAGTTCCACGGATAAGCCTGCATTGCGTGCTACTTGCGACATCCCGACGGGTCATATCTGGGGCCCCTATCGACTCGCTGGACTGTGCCGCAGTTCGAGTCCCCTGAATGAGAGCAGTTTGAATTCCGCTCACAGGCAGATCACAGTATTTGTAAGGACTACTGGCAGTTGCGATTTTCACAAAATCCACCCGAGCTGTTATCTGCCTTTTTTGCCTATTTCGACAGAGTGGCGATTCATGCGAACTAGTTGCGCGAGTGAACGAGGAAAATGCTTGGATTAAGGTCATCCAGGAACGCGTGCCCTCAGAAGGATCCAACGTAGAAATCATTGTGGAAGGTGAGTCTATTTTAACCTATTAGAAACCTCCTGACTACTTTGTAGTACTTATAAACTGTGTCTTTCTTCTACTTAGTCGTACCAGAGACAATCAGTGTCGTTTCGCTCACCAACATCTCATCAGGCAGCCGGATCCAAGGCGCTGTCAGACTGGTTCCACCACGTGAGTTTGACCTTGACCCACTGGGTAAATTGTAGCCAATCAGGAGGGCAGATTTCGCCACAAAGACATAACAAAGCAAGAAACAAAGGCGCATTTGAGGAAGTCAGGGTTAAGTATTTCTAATAGGGCAGGCACAAGCCTACAACAAAGGTGACAATAAATCGAGCAAGCCAAATGTATTGCCACACGTAGCTCGGAGTAAGGGACCTTGTACGAATTAGGCACGTAGCATGTAATTACTGATTTAGCAGATAGCAGATTATGCCTCAAGAAGTCAGCAGGGGGTTAGGTTGGGGGGGGTAGCGTGGGGGTCTTGGAGATGCATTCCCTTCCGGCGCACACAATCTGCGTGGAGGATCTTAATGTTCAACATGGCTCCGGTTTAAAATGCAGGGGAATGCAAATTACGCGGCTGTACAATTTAAGATACCCATCTCGTGAACATTGGATGGTGACCGACAACTGTGGAGGGTTGGAAAACGGGCTGCGACAGCGACCTCTCCGCCACACCCAATGCTAATTTAACACCAGACAGCACCCAAAAGCCTTTGATGTCAATTTCGTGTAATCAAGATTAAGAGGCGCTTAGCAAGTTGAACAGGGTCGCGTTTCAGGGAGGCATTTTGGATTAAGCGTCCACATCTTCTAGCCCCAGTCGTTAAGCCATCTCACACTCCTTCACTCCCGTTTCGTTTAAAAGTTCCAACATGCGCCTCCAAGAGTGCGTCGCCATCTCCGCCGACTGTCGGTCAGGGCTTCGCAAGCGCCGGCGGGGGTCCGAAGAGGGACAAGAAGTGCCTCTACTGCGGTATTTTCTTCTCCAGCCTGGACACCCTCACCGCCCACATGACCAACTACTGCTCGCGCCGACCTCACCTCACCACTCCAACAACCGGAGCTGGAGGCGCTTCAGCGGCACCATCGTCGAGCGCCTGCACCTCCGTCAACAGCGGTCACGTGGACAGGATCAGTTCAACTGTGGAGACCGGAGATTTGCCTCTGGGTGAACAGTCAACTTCACCGGGGTCTGGTAAGTTAGAGAGTGAAGGATAGCTGGTGGACGCTGCAATTATTGCCTTTTTTACTCAAGATTGATTAATATTCCAGTCGACCTGTTGAAGTTGGTTATGGCCAAATCAAGGCCATAATTGCATCGGATTGTGGTCATGTAAGCAGGAGAGATCGAAGACAGTTTGAATGTTCTCTCACAATTGAAATCCAATTGTTAATAAGCCCGATATTTGGATTCCGTGTAAACTTAAAGAATTTTACTTAAAAAGGATAACCAATACTTCCGATAGTGACTTCAATTGCAATGTTATTATCGCCTTTATGAAACAAGTCACAACTGGTAACGAAAAATGGATAGTCTTTGATAATCGCAATCGAAAACAATCATAACCAGCACAAAATGCATCAAAAATGGAACGTGATGTGAATTCGATGAGATTAGGAAGGTGTTGTATATTTTAATCCGCGTTTAGATAAAATTTGATTAGGGACCAACCGAGGGAAAATGGCCAGAATTGGTAGATTGCAAAGAAATCGCACCTAGTTCAGTTTTTTTAAAAAGGGAAAAAGCTGATGAAACTGCCAGAAATGTGACATTAAGTGAAGGGTAAAAGAGAGTATTAGGCGTATGACTTAATTTTTACACATTTTGTTGCCGGTGGGCAAGCATTGAAAGGCATGTGTTCATGCGTTGACCTAGGAAGATGCGTTCGGTCAACATGTGAGGGGACCTAACTTCCAAGTTTTTAATTTTTTCCCATTTGGTGGTGCCCACGCTTGAAAATAGGCATTTGGGTGACTCCTAACTAAGCTGCTACAGGATCTTGTTGAATCTTCATCCAGTAGAGCTTGTAATTCTGCATCTTCACACTTTTGAGGCTGCTGTCCGGGGCACGGCTGGTCACTAAGACCGAAATCACCACTTCAGACATGTTGGTGCCAATAATCACACATTTCATACGACACAACATCGGAAGCACCAAGAACACTACAAATTGATTACTACTGGAATTTGTATAAAATACAAAACCATAAAAGACCGCGATAACCCGCTCCTACTTTAAACATAATTTTAAGGTCGACGAAAAATCGGAACAAATTAAGTCATGCACACAATTTATAACTTTAAATACTTAGGTCCAGCTCACTATCTCACCAACAAGCTAGCTGATCGTCGTCAAGTGTTGTAAATTTAATTGACCTGGCGAATCGATTTCCAGACTGTGGACGTATTCACCCAATCATCGACACGCAAAATAACTTTACAAGCGTGTCTTGCTGGTTATGAGAGAAAAAAGGAATAAGGCAGGAACCAGCACCAGGGTAAATTTTAATACGCGATTATTAGCTCTGAGCAAACATGCTGAGAACGCCTCTTATCAACACGACAAACTGGCCTAATTCTATCTTTTCCGCACTGATAAGCCCCCTCCCTTTGAAGTGGGTTGCTTTGTCGCAGTATTTGGCCCGCGCCAACCATACCAACCAACGCTTGCAACGCGTCAACTCAAAGTCCATATTTATTTAGGGCTGTAAATTATCAGGGCGACATGTTACTACGATGGTTAATTAACGGGACGACGACAGACAGAACAACCCAGCAGATGTCGCACGTCTGTTTGATAATCTGCGTGCACATAAGTCGCCGACTAGTTCAAATATTAATTATTAAAAAAAACACCTTCCAGGCAGTGAATGTGATTGGATTGGGGGTCGTTACTTCCCAATAAACCATTTCACGCAAATCCCAGGGCCTCTTAGGCCGTCCACACTAAAGGCAACATGTTTTAATAATAGAAGTGGAGCATTAGTTGCTTAAATATCTGGAAGGTACATCTGATTGTTTTAAATATTTAGCCTTCTCATGGTCGAGTAGGACCACTCCAGGGAAACGATTAAGCGAGAACACTTCCACAGGTGGAGGACTTCTAGCCGCGCCCCATTCTCCTCACTCGACCAGCCGTGGTACCCCCTCACGACACTCGCCCCCCCTTGGCGTACCTCGGCCCTCTGATTTAGGCAGCATGCTCACCGCCGCGGCAGTAGCAAATCACCAGCTCGGTAGCAGCAGCAGCGCTGACCCTCTAGTCACATTCGCCGCAGCACTAGCCTCCATGGGTCGCTGTAGGGCCCCACCAGGGAGCGAACAGCAGTTGCATCAGCAGCTCTTTTCTGCCGCCGCCGCCGCCGCCACCTCAGCCTCTGCGTTGGAGGACAAGTCGCGCGCGATGTACTGCCGAGGGTGCCGGCGTTTCTACTCCAGCTCCATCTTCTCCTTCCACGTGGGCATAAGTCGCCACTTGAACAAGTTGGCGAACGACGGCGGCGGCGGCACCGACGTGGGTCAGTTGGCCGAGTCGGCGAAACGACTCGGGCTGGTTATGACAGCTCCACTGATCACCGATGCGGGATTTGTTTACGTCCCAGTGCACCCAGACTGTGGCGGCGGAGGAGGAGGGGAGTGTGGAGGGAGTGCCGGTAGAGCACCTCTCGACCTCAGAACAGTGAGAGCCTCAGAGGAGGCAGAAAAGGAGGGAGCTGGGAACACAGTGCAGCCACAACACCCGAATGCCAACAATCTGCTCGCGACAATTATCTCGGGACTGATGAGTGGGGGGTTGAACCCACCACCGCCGCCGCCACCACCACCACCACCACCGGCGCCGCCAATACCACCTCTGGCGAGCTGGTGGTTTGGAGGAAAACTCCTTGACCCTGCGGCGCTGGAGGCGTTTCTACAGGCGGTTACGACTGGACAGTCGCACCACCACCAGACCCACCACCTCCCTTCCACGGCGGACACAGCACGAGCCACGGAAGGTCCGAGTGTTGAGGTGCAGAGGCCCTATCTCTGCACCAATTGCCAAACACGATTTCAGGCATACAGCACATTCAAGGTAAGCACGCAAAGCTGGCATGGAACGGGCTCAGTAACTAGCCGATTAGTCCACTTTCACGAAAGACCAGATAAATCATTCGATTAAAGTACCGATAGTGCCGTAGTTTCCGAAATCCAGGATGGATGGAGCTTAGAATGACATTGTAACAGTTTTGTGGACCAATGACACAGTTTATGCAATTACAGCGACACCATAACAATGGATGCTTGAATACAACTACTTGCTTCATGTCCGGTAAGGGTACGAAATAGTTTAAGTTGCATCGATGTCGCAAAACTGCCCTTCCCAGGAGATGATAGGAATGTATCCCCAAAGGAGGGCAGATTTCGACAGCGATAAGACACGCAGCTGTGGACCTTAATCGCTATCTGTCCAAAATGGGACTATTACGGGAACAGTTAACGTGTCTGAGACGTACTGGCCAACGCGACCACGCCCGTTATGCCCGGACACTCTTAGTTCTTAACCAAATAAACTAACCAGAGAACTGGTTAGTGACTTCAAGCAAAGCTTGCACCTTCATGGAGCTTTCACCGTGGAGACCAACGTGGTGTAACGTATTTTCCGGCTAAAGGTTACTTGAGTGAATGATAAATAAACGACAAAACACAATCTGCAGATCCACTTTTTTGGCCTAAAACTACAGCGCCAAGACATCGGGCAGCGGTCCTTTCCATTTTGACCGGGGCCACAGCCACCCAGGCAACATAAAAAAACGAGTGCTCATCTAGGTGTGGAGCATAAATTCTGAACAAGTGACGCCCGGACAGCAACAAGAAGCGGGCGATGGGTTTTAGCGAGAGATAAGACGTGTGGATGGGAGGCGCCGTGCCTAAGACGAGATGATGGCACGATACGGGGAGGCAGGCGCCGGCTGAAGAAGGGTGCGTGTGGAAGGGGAGCTAAGTGGGCTTGCGGTAGGTGGGGATGCTGGCAAGACCACCCTATCCCCCCCCCAAATTGATGATGATGATCGATTGATAGGAGTGAAACGGTGGCGCCGAGCGTCTTCCTGCGATGCTGGTTGCTGATAAGCCCACCTTTTAAGTGACTGGGATGCAGCCTAGATTTCTGTGTTGAGATTTAGGGGCCGATGACTACATAGCGCTTCACAAACCACCCCTATTTCAGGCCCATCAACAATACTACTGTCAAGGTCGTCGCAAGGCCAACACGGCGACAGAGACAGCCTACCACGGAAACTCGACGTCGTCGCCCCCGCAAAGCACAAAATCCTCGACCAGTTCTGATCGCTCACATTCCCCTAAGCGACGACGTCTGGCGGAGGACGGCGGCCAGGCGGTTGTGAGTCTAAAGCCCACCTCGCCATCCCTATCCCAGGGGGACAGCGAGACCTCCCCCTCCTCCCGATCTGTCAACGGCGATTGGGAGCACGTAGGAGGAGGCAGCTCGGAACTGAGATGTCGTCTTTGTGGTTACGTTGGTCAAACCCCCAGGGGAATGAAAATGCACAGCCGGGTGCACGAGTGCTCGGCTGGCGGTAACGCTGGGTGTACTATGTAAGCCTAACCCTACATACAACTACTACTTAATACAAATAAGTAGTCTAGACTATACCCATTCTATTTCAGTCGCACGAAGACGGAGAAGGCGCCAAGCCCGAGGTCGCCGAACGGCATGGACGCGACGTCAAGCCCACCACAGATCTTCCGGGCTCAGCCGTTGTGCTAGAACATTCCCAAACTGATTTGTGATGCCAACAATGAAATCACCGACACACATTTTGTTATGCATACTTATTTCTTGCACACCCATCTGCATGATGTTATTTTATTTCAACCAAATACACTCCTACAGTATGTTCAAGCACAAATTTCATTGAGCTCACAGCCCCAGATGTCCACGAGATATTGGAGTAGGACTTACGGTGACAGTACGCATAATCCTGGATGGTATTTTAACAGCCCCATTCACCTTCCACAGAGAACGATTGGAAAATCCCCACCAACACCTCACAAACCCGTTAACAATGAAATCCATCCAGTTGACTTTACTAAAGCAACGCGACTTAGACGGCCTTGGGCTAAAAAGTGTGGCAGGGTAGCACGATGAACATGGAACGACGACGGACTACATTCATTTAGGTCCACGAATGACGTTTACTCATACACGTGAAAAGGATCAGGGATTGGGCATTCTTGGCCTAAGAACTTTGATTATCGATATTAAAACAAGGAGGCATAAATGATACATTTACAGATGTTGCAACATCGAATGATAAATTAGAAGCAACAACGCTTTTCAAAACCCTACAATAAACTCGGATGCCAGTTAGCGAACCATAGTACTCACTGAAAGGTTACTTAAAAGCGTATCAGTTGGGTAGTAACTCCAATAGGGAAAGGGGATAAAAGGTGAATAAACTCAATCAGGAACTGCATAACACCAGTTGAAAAACGAGAAATGCTGGATGAATCCTACCAGTCCCTAACCGTAAAAGATAGTTGGGATTTGAGTACAGTGCGAAAATGTTGGCCTTAAAAAGCAACTGTGGTGCGACTAATTGAACATAACTTCCTAAAATCCACAATATATTAGGCCCATGGTAGACAGAAAAACAACAAGAACGCATAAATAGATGGTAAAATATAAAGGACCTGAAAAGTTACTAACTACCTTACTTAACAGAAAACAGCCAAAATGTAGTAAAGCAAAAAAGATTGTTCTCATCCGAAAAATAATTATATTATTCAAAGCTAATTCATGGCTTCGACAGTGCCCCGGCTGGTTACATAAATGCCATCCAAGAACTTTCGGATATCCTTGTGGCGGACAGCGCATGACTGTTGGATGAGAGCGGCTAAAAGCTCGAGTACAAAAATACACAACTTACCACATTTAGAAACGGACTCAAGATCGTTTCCTTGAATTGCTAAGGACTCAGAACCACCACCAACAGCCTTAACGCCGGATGGCATGTCAATGACGCGAGTGGTCCTTTCACCGAGGAAATTTTTGATCGAAACCTTGGTTCCATCGGGGGCAACAATCACATTGATAGGGAAGTGAGCAAATAAGGTTTGAAGTTTATACTCGAACCCGTATTGCACACCCTTGATCATGTTTTCGATGTGACTGCAAACAGTACGAACGGCAGCTAATTCTTTGCGAATTCCAAAATACTTTGTAACAGTCACAGCGCGGTTCGTAGCTTTGATATCCAAAGCCAAGTGCTTAAAGTCACGTCTTAGAGTACCTCGTTTGCCCTTCACAACGACAACTCGCGATCGGACCTTAACTTTCACGCCTGTTGGCACCTTAATTCTCTCGGTCGATTTGATGACTTTCATTGCCAAAAACTACAACTACATAAATAATGCACACAAATCACTTACAGAACCACGCCTGCACCAAAACTGCAAGCAGCGCTAGGCTTGTATACTTCCATTTAAAACAAGGTTCATAAAATCAAATTCCTTTTTTATATTTACATTTAATTAATTTTACAATTAAAAATAAGCTTTCGTATTTGCTGTTAAGTTCTGATTAATATATGTCAACATTGTGACAACATAATCTAGTTTTGTAAATGACCTATCTTCCATCTACGTTTTTAGAAGAGGAACCTTTTAATGGAGAATGAAGTTATGCAAAATTAGTGAGTTACAAGTTTTCCAATTTTAAAACATAAATAAAGCTTATATTTGAATCACATTTATTTCCATTATAGTCAAGATCCATAAGAATAAAATGTAGATTGTAAAAAAAAACAGATAATAGGCTTTCTCTACTTAAGCCTCAAAAAATGTGAAGATATTTATTAACTGGTTGATTGGGTGTATGACTTACTTTATGCAGATTTTTCAGCAAATTTATGTAATGTTAATAGCTTACAACCAAATTAAAATAAGTAAAATTATTAATCGTTTCCTATGACTCTAAACAACAAACGTTTACAAATGCTTGTTTAAGAAAAATTGAAGGACGTGTTAAATCAGCAAAGAAAAGATGACGATTTAGAGCGTTTGATAACATACGCAAATCCGCTTTATACAGTAGAAACTGCGGAGGAAATTGTAGACGGCATGTAAATTTTAAACTTCTCAGCGAATATGAAATCGGCAATCCGTAAAAGGAGAGACTATATTAGAATATAAGGGAATCCGGCTGGAAGTACGATTCAGAACACCATAAATTTTGGTATACTAAACAGTCTACTCTTTCCAAACTTCTTTTTTTTCAAATCGATGATGTAGGCGTTGGCAGAGGCTTCAGAAATGACCAAAAAACTCGTATGAAATCCTTAGATCTTGTTTTCCTAGCCGTATATTTTATATTGTTAAGCACAGATTCCGAATCAGATTTTTTTTCAATTTCAATGACTTCGGCAGTCAGATTCTACTTGTAAAAATCATTGGAATCGTTTTCTCAAACAGTAATATGTGAACAGCAGATAAGTTTATCAATCTGATCATCCACAATTTCCGGTTCTGAAGTGTAATTACCAACGGATGTAAGCAGAAGGGTATGATGAGGTTCAGCAGTCCTGGGCAACATGACTGGCTTTCTAAGAGCGTTGAACCACTGACAACCTTTTTAAAGTTATAAAAAAGGAAAGTTGTGCATCTGATAGTGTAGTGACTTTCTGTAGAGGTGACAGTGAGGCAAAGAACAGGATGATCCCGTTGGTGTACATTGCTGGTGTGCCTCACGTAAACCTTGTCTTGAAGACGTCTCTCTTGCTCTCCCCAAACCGGAACTGGAGATGTCCGCCCGTTCTCCCACGAATCATCAAAGTAAAGATTATTTGTTTGCTCTTTTACCTCACTAGTTACCTAAGCCCATTTAAACTGCAGTGGAATTGCC